ATCATTGTCGTCTGGAGAAGATCGGCATCTTCTTCCTAATTTGAGATATCAGAAAATAACTGGATCCGTAGTCTTAGGTTCTTACATAGAAGCCATCTTCTCCGCCGAAGCTGGAGAGCCGTTAGAGGGTAATGTACACGCAAACTTGGCAACCCACCCGCCATCACCATCATCACCTCCGTAACCACCACCATATCCGTCGTCGCTCTATCAATTTTATAAGTCAAATTTGTTTCCTTCCATGTTAGCATGATTGTGCGCACCATTTTAAAGGGTAAAATAAGAGAGGTATTTGTTGGGAGATGGACGAATGAGAGTCGAGCGCTTCATGGCAAAAGGCAGACGGCAACAATTTTGAGGTCCCTTGCCTGCCACGTGCTCGGCTCCGAATAGTCTCCGCGGCCGTTGCTTTGATCCATGCTTTGAGACGGGCGCATGTTCCGCGTTCTTGTATGAACAGTCATCCTAATATAACCATGAGAAAGACGCGTCTGTTTCTCTCCTTTACGATATAAATCGATACATTTTGGTGTCTTCACGAAGCCGCTCGGTACATATCTGTAGCTCATCGTGCTTGGGAGTGATCAGAGGTAGGTTTGTGGTACAATGGTTGTCTTACAATTTTGTTTGAGTTTAGGATCTTTGTAGGTCTGAGACCTCAAACCACTCGAAACGATCTGAACAATGGAACAGATTCATTGCTCAAATCATTACTCGAACTTTGTTTGGGGAATGGCAACATCAGGCCGATCAATCCCGGTTGATCCTTTTTGATCGCGGTTAAATTTGATCGAGACGGATGTTGGACAAGCATATTTTCTCGTCATCTGAACGAAAAGATGAATGTCGCGCTCTCTTAATAAGCACAACGGTTATTGCCCTTTGCATCAGTCTGATCACGTCTTATTTCTTAATACTCTCTGATCACGCCGTCTCGAAGTGGTGCGAATGCAATTTTGAGGTTATGCAGGCACCCGCGCGCGTGACGTGTTCCCACTCTGTAGGATTTCATATCAATTCTTCCAGATCCATGTGATATCTTCCTACGGGAACCAATGTATGCCAGAATATGCAATTAGTGGTTCGTTGAGATTGAGCTTCGAGCTCACAAGTTGTCTATTACAAAGCAGATAGCCAAAAACCTCTATCCAAATAATCCAAGATCGCATGTACAACGGCTGGTGTGATAGAAGACGAAGTATCGGTCCCTGCCTACTTCCGCCGCCGAGACCAGCTGGAGCTCTAATAACTTTGGGTCTCTCAAAAGCTGCTCGTCCCACGGTCGCCACTCTTTCGTTTTGCCCCCCCTCGTTCTTTTCTCCCTCTACTTCCACATCATGGCTACACAGACGCGCCTCTGGGGATCACGGTTTAACGCACTCCTGCAAGAATCCCTCCCTCCCTCCCCTGAACCTCATCCCGTCGTGACGACTTCCACCATCATGTCTCCTCTCGGCGCTCTCTCAACGGCATCGGCTCGCGAGCGCACCTTGACGGCGCCTGGGCAGATCAACAGGACGACGGACCGCAACAGCATACCCAACAGCAACGTCGGCACGCACTTGCGTTCTTCGTCGTACAATGTTGGTGGGCACCACATCCACCTTTGGCAACACAGAAGCCTCATGACGGCTAGTCGGGTCCGTCATGAGGCTTCTATCTTCGTCGGAGGGTGCATGACAATTCATCGCGCATATACCTACCTCTGACGCATATTCCAGTTTACCTGCATCCATAGACAGTGTCACTATCAAAAGAGAGCTCCACAGAATGTTTCTAGGCATCAACGACACGTCCAGGGTGTCTTCTGAAAACACCCTGGACGCGTCGCTTGAGATGGCCGGTTCACCAGAAGCATGTCCCATGGTTCAAATTGTCGATATACACGTGCCTAACGAGGCTCCAAATGGTGTATGTGCGTTTGTTCAGGTCGAAGTAAGACTGTCCATGTTTCCGCTTTGCAATATACTGAATCGTGCATATAGTCACCGGAACAGGCGGCGCATGTATTGGCACATGTCGAACATCATCCCTTCGTCCTTCAGGGAAGTCACCTTCGCCTCGAAATGGCCAAAGCCTATCGATCCCTCAACATCACCGTGAATAGCGCCCTCCTGCGACAGGGATCCATCAAACTTGGGCGTATTCACGAGAGTTATCAGTGAGTGCTTGCCTGTCTATCGGTAGCAAGTTGCTGACATGTGTTTCTTGTACAGGGCCGTTATCGAAAGTCCACCAGCCTTTACTGGTGGCGCCTCTCCCTCAAACGAGCTTCCTCCTGATGAAGCCCCGGAGGACGAGCTGACGGTCAGCTTCCGGGATGACAACGTGAGGACTCTTTGCCTTTTGCTCGATCAAACACTCACAATACCTGCCAGGCCCTTCTACAGATAGCGGCGTTCTTCGGACCGATCGAAAAATGCCAAGAATTCGTTGCTGATCGTACTGGTGCGGTGCTACCCGGAGATAGGACCTGGAAAATCAAGTGGAAAGTCAGGAATGATAGCAAGACTGCGTTCATCGTAAGTGTACATACTTCGAATGGATACCGTATTATTGAAATTGGATATCAAGACTTTGGCTCCCCTCGAAGGCGTTAACGTGGTTTGGACGCATCACTTGGGACATCAGTTCCTCACGGCGAAGCAAGGACATCGCGCAATTGGGTGTACCGGCATGGCCTTCCAACAAGCGGGGACTCTTCGGAAGAACCTCAACGCTCTGGCACTGACTGAAGCCAACTTCCCTTCCTTGTCGTCGGCAAAAGTCACATCCATCTGTCCAAATCCGCAAGAGGAAACACAACCTTCAACGCAGGCTATAGACGAAGCCACTGATGAAGTCCATATTCACGGTTCGATTGCGGCGACGATCACGGAGGAGATGAGATCAAACCATTTGTTCTCTCCTGGAACGAACCCCCGAGTGCAGCTGCCACATGTCAGTAGGACAGAAATCTCTCAAGATAAGAGCGTCGACGAACTTGCTCACCATCGGTCCGCCACTGGCACTGGCAAGAAAGAATCAGTCACACCTGCCCCTTGTGATCCAGAAATCGACCCCTGGTCGATTCTTATAAAGAATCTCCGGGTCGACAAGAACTGGACTGAGGAACGTCTCAGACTGGTTTTCGAAGAGTACGGCGACGTTGAGGAGGTCAAGCTTATACACCCGGCTTGTAAGAATTCCTCGAGAATTTTGAAACCATTGGCTAAGTGTACCGGAACAGTTGATAAACCAAAGTTTGCTTTCATCAAGTTTTCCGATCCAGACGCCGCACGCTTGGCTATTTTGGAAGAGGTAAGCGAATAACACTTTCCTTTCCAGCCTCTGTGGATTGAAGTTCGTCAGAATGGACAGAGCAAACACGGCCACGTCATATATGTGTATCCCAGGCATCTCGGAGGAAATCTCGGAGGAAACTTCAGGAACGGACCACGACGACCAACCTTCCGAAAGGAACAGCGATCCTTCGAGATCTCGATGTCAGATCAACCCGTCTCGGATACCACCGTGAACAAGAATTCCCAGTCAGCATCGACAGTTCCCGACTTGTCGTCCGCTCCGACTTCGTTCCTGGAGTCAATTGGGCTTCCCCCGGCAACACCCACTAGGTCTCTTCAAAGCCTTACTCTTCGAGAAAGACAAACGCCTCAAACAGACTCCAGGATGTTGAGACCACCTTCAAGGAAAGGCCAATGTTCTACACCAACGATGACGACTGTTCCCGTTCCTACAGACAACACCCAGTGCTCGCCAAAAGACGGCATCAGAGATTGCGAAGGGGTGAAGAACGACTCGGACGTACCCTTAGTCTTCAACTCATTGTATGCACCACCGAGAGGAGAAAAGGTTGCCGAAGTGGCCGACCCCGTTCGGATGCAGGACGCTGCTCCTGGAGCGTACTGGGCGGAGGTACCGAGAGGGCCACCTCCCATACAGTATCCCGCCTATCCCTTCCCAGGGTATTGGGTTGGGTATCCTGGGGGGATAACGCCCTACACGCCTTTCACCCCTCAACGGGGCAGTCAGCCGCTTGCATGGCCAGCAGATCCTCCCGTGGGTGTCCAAGGTAATCAACCGTACCCGTTTATGCCGTGGATGCAGGTCGGAATGTTTCTTCCATCGATGCAATATTGAACTTAACTGTTGTACAGCCCGGACCACAAATGTTCCCCGCGACTCCTCCTAATGGATATGACCAGATGCAGTACGGACGCAGCAGCGCATTGGGTAATAACGTCCAAGAAGCACCGATTCCGACGGGTTTGGTTCAGTCTGCCACGGGGCTCATTATTCCAATTTACTCGGAAGTTGTCTTCAATCGATATCTTGCGGAGAATCCCCACGTCATCGATACTCGCCGCTTCTTTCCAAATCCGATGGCGCAAGCTCAGGCAGGCATGATTATGCCTCACACACCTCAGTCGATACTGCCGAACAGGGGTGTATTCGATTCCAATGGCGGAGGACAAGGAAATTTGTTCCTCCATCACGAGAGGGCGGACACGAACCAAAGTTTTACATCGACCAACTCGTTCAGCACCGCGGCGAGCGATGGTTCTCCTTCTCGCATGCCTTGCGGCCCGCCTCCAGCATATGGTGTGCATCCGTTGATGGGCCATGCGCACGGATATCCGGTGGCACCTCCTCATTTCATTCCACAACGCCTTGGCCCACAGGGAGGGTTGCCTGAATACCAGCCGTTCCATGAAGCAGGCCTTTGAAGGCACACGCCATTATTCGTCTGCATATCCTGAGCATTTCATCCTTTAACCCGCGTTTGTATTCCCACTCACCCAAAAATTCCCAGCCTCCCTCTTTCCCTGGTCTTTCTCGTCTCTTCTCTCATGTCTCCACTATCTCGTCAAGGTTTTCATGGACTGAAACGGCAACATTATCGCCCTCTCTTCCTTTATCCCGTTCTGGCACCATCCGGGTTCGCCGTATTGTTCATCTTGGACTGTTCGCGACTCCCTCGCTCCCTGTTCTCCACCGTCGTTTCCTTTCCCCGCGTTCTGTTTTCTCCTGCTCTGGTGACACGAGGTGGTCGTTCTGTATGGGTATCCGACTCTCTGTATTGTAGACTGGTGGAGGAGGATCTTAATAAGAGGTCTCTACTCTTCCGCGTTGTCGCCGCCTCCACATACACATTCGGGGAAACATTCGCCTCCGCGTACAACTGAGATGTTTTTTTTCGCCAATGAAAAGAACAAAGAGAGACCGGATAACGCGCAGATACCCCCATTCTGCAGGATGGTAAACCTCTTCCAGTACGCGTTCACCACCTACCTCTCCCTCACCGGACAACAACCCATGGCTGCCCAGGGCTCCTGCTCCTCCCGCTCATTAAGGGTAATGACATTCAACATCCGGTATGACTACTCTCCCTGTCCTCCCATCCCTACCTCTGGGCCTCCGCCAGTAGAATCCTCCCCCGAAGAGCAGATCTGGGGGGAGAAACGCTGGGCCGAAAGACGATACAGAGTCGCGGATACGATCACTTTCCACGCACCTGACGTTTTTGGCTTGCAGGAAGTCGTAAGCTCCCAAATGGGGGATATGCGCCAGCTCGTAGGGTCAGTGTATGACAGCGTAGGAGTAGGGAGAGATGATGGAAAGGAGAAGGGGGAATATGTGCCCGTGTTCTGGAATAGGTACGCACTCCTTTGCTGGGTTGATGAGGGGCTGACGGGTGTAGGGAGAGGTTCAAGTTACTGGAAGTGAACTACTTTTGGCTTTCTCCTGAGCCTGATCAACCTGGAAGTGTCGGCTGGGATGCTGTACGTCTACCCTTCCTATATCCAAGACATGCTAATCTCCTCAGGGCCAAACCCGCATGTGCACACTCGTATCACTCCTCGACCTTACCCACCCCTCTGCCTCCTCGTCTGTGGAAGGAGGGGCACTCTTCCACATAGCTAATACACACTACGACGACCGGGGTGTCCAAGCGCGTGGAGAGAGCAGCCTGCTAATCCGCCGACGGCTGCCGGGGTTGATCAAGGCCGTCGAGGAGAAGCATTCCGTAAAGGGTGAAGGGCTCGTCGTCCTTCTAGGAGACTTCAGTCAGTCCCCCTTTTCCCCTCTCCCTGGATATATGCACCTTGCTAACACCCTGCAGACAGCCCGGAAGAAGAAGCAGGCTACAAGAACATCGTCTTCCCCCAAGCCTCCTCTCCGCTCCAATTCGCCGACACGATGTACTCTCTCTCCCTCGCCCCTGGCCCAGGCAAGCTCTGGGAACCCTACGGCCTACACTATACCTACACCGGTTTCCAGCCATATGACAGGAAGGAGAGGATCGATTTTGTGTTTATGGGCTTGAGGACTGGGAGGCAATGGAAAGTGAGCAGGCAGGGGGTGGTGGATAATGAGTGGAGGGGAGAGAAGGGATGGAAGGGGTTGAGTAGTGATCATCGGGCTGTAGTGGCCGAGTTTTGTACGTGATTTGGGACAGCATGTTTGGGATTGTATGATGTAAACAGTACAAGAGGAATAATTTGGCTGCATATACGGCCCTCCCTGTGTGCCAGACTGACTTTATGCCCTCATCCTCGCTAAGAAGCGGTTGTGATCACGTGCACACGGAAAAGAGGTTCACCCGAAGTGCTGTATTCCTCGCCGCCTTGTTGAGCATGATCGATTACCTGGGTTACTCGTTTCAGGCCCTGTGCTTGAGAACACACGGGGTATCTTCAACAGCGTATGCCTATGATGTGCGTTTTTCATCCACAAGCCGATGCGGATGGACACCCATTAAAGGGGGGCAAGGAAGCGTATAGACCCCAAACCATAATTCGGACTGTTTGGGATGCAGCTCCATCTGTCTGACCAAGCTGGTGGCAAGTAAAGATACACCGTGTAGCACTCCACTCCAAGCAGAGATGCGGAGGCTTCGCACTTACCCAACCCCACTCGGCCTGATATCTATCTGATGATACATCAATTATGCAGCTTCTCGCCATTACAGGAAGAACAGTGGAGCACCGTATGACAATCGTCCGTCTGAGTTCGATATGCGAGTGGCAAGGATGCAAGAAGAGAAATTCCGTCCTCCCCAAAGAGTCCCCAAGCGCTGGCAGGTCAAAGCACAAGGATTTGAAGAGAGATTACGTGTATCATACGTCGTACTTCATGCGGGCCTGATGTCAGCGTCAGTGTCAGTCGATAGAGAGAGGACGACGTGCATGCTTGTGTTCGTGTGCCTGTGGGCTGAGTGCTGGAGCGTGTTGGCGCAAGAAGCTGCCGGGAGAATTAAGCGACCTAAGGTATGTACAAACGCGTGCGGATCGACGTGTTATTGCGCATGGAGCCCAGCGCACACCGACAAATAGTCCAAAAAAGAGAGCCAAACGTGCATGACTTGTCCGTTGTCGGGAAGTCCCGAGAGCCGGAGTCGTAAGAGCAAACCGAAGAGACGTGCTGTATGTG